GCACCGTGTCGGGGTCGGGGGGGGGGAGATACGGGGCACCGTGTCGGGGGGGGGGGAGGAGATACGGGGCACCGTGTCGGGGGGGGGGGGGGGGAGATACGGGGGGCACCGTGTCGGGGGGGGGGGGCAAACATGCCGTGGGGGGGGGGGAGGAGATACGGGGCACCGTGTCGGGGGGGGGGGGAGATACGGGGCAGATACGGGGCACCGTGTCGGGGGGGGGGGGGGGGAGAGATACGGGGCACCGTGTCGGGGGGGGGCGGGGAGAGAGATACGGGGCACCGTGTCGGGGGGGGGGGGGGGGGGAGATACAGGGCACCGTGTGTCGGGGGGGGGGGGAGATACAGGGCACCGTGTCGGGGGGGGGGGGAGATACGGGGGCACCGTGTCGGGGGGGGGGGGGAGATACGGGGCACCGTGTCGGGGGGGGGGGGAGAGATACGGGGCACCGTGTCGTGGGGGGGGGGGGAGGGATACGGGGCACCGTGTCGTGGGGGGGGGGAGATACGGGGCACCGTGTCGGGGGGGGGGAAGAATACAGGGCACCGTGTCGGGGGGGAGGAAGAATACAGGGCACCGTGTCGGGGGGGAGGAAGAATACAGGGCACCGTGTCGGGGGGGAGGAAGAATACAGGGCACCGTGTCGGGGGGAGGAAGAATACAGGGCACCGTGTCGGGGGGGAGGAAGAATACAGGGCACCGTGTCGGGGGGGAGGAAGAATACAGGGCACCGTGTCGGGGGGGGAGGAAGAATACAGGGCACCGTGTCGGGGGGGGAGGAAGAATACAGGGCACCGTGTCGGGTCGGGGGGGGAGGAAGAATACAGGGCACCGTGACGGGGGGGAGGAAGAATACAGGGCACCGTGACGGGGGGGGGGGGGGGGGGAGGAAGAATACAGGGCACCGTGTCGGGGGGGGGGGGGGGGGGGGGGAGGAAGAATACAGGGCACCCATGTTGGGGGGGGGGGCAAGTATACAGGGCACCGTGTCGGGGGAGGGGGGAAGCGGAATACATGGCACCGTTGTCGGGGGGGGGGGGGGGTGGCAGCAGAATAAAGGGCACCATGTCGGGGGGGGAATACAGGGCACCGAGCGAGAGGGGGGGATGTACAGGGCACCGGGTGAGGGGGGGGATATACAGGGCACCGGGTGAGAGGGGGGGGATATACAGGGCACCGGGTGAGAGAGGGGGGGGATATACAGGGCACCGGGTGAGAGAGGGGGGGATATACAGGGCACCGGGTGAGAGGGGGGGGGGGATATACAGGGCACCGAGTGAGAGGGGAGGGGGGGGAATACAGGGCACCGGGTGAGAGGGGAGGGGGGGGAATACAGGGCACCGGGTGAGAGGGGAGGAGGGGGAATCCAGGGCACCGGGTGAGAGGGGAGGGGGGGGGGGGGGGAATACAGGGCACCGTGTCGGGGAGGGGGGGGAATACAGGGCACCGTGTCGGGGAGGGAATACAGGGCACCGTGTCGGGGAGGGGGGGGGTGAATACAGGGCACCGTGTCGGGGAGGGGGGGGGGGAATACAGGGCACCGTGTCGGGGAGGGGGGGGGGGAATACAGGGCACCGTTTGTCGGGGAGGGGGGGGTGAATACAGGGCACCGTGTCGGGGAGGAATACAGGGCACCGTGTCGGGGAGGAATACAGGGCACCGTGTCGGGGAGGAATACAGGGCACCGTGTCGGGGAGGAATACAGGGCACCGTGTCGGGGAGGAATACAGGGCACCGTGTCGGGGGAGGGGGGGGGGGGGAGATACAGGGCACCGTGTCGGGGGGGGGGGGGGGGGGGAGAATACAGGGCACCGTGTCGGGGGGGGGGGAATACAGGGCACCGTGTCGGGGGGGGAATACAGGGCACCGTGTCGGGGGGGGGGGGGGGAATACAGGGCACCGTGTCGGGGGGGGGGAATACAGGGCACCGTGTCGGGGGGGGGGGGGAATACAGGGCACCGTGTCGGGGGGGGGGAATACAGGGCACCGTGTCGGGGGGGGGGAATACAGGGCACCGTGTCGGGGGGGGGGAATACAGGGCACCGTGTCGGGGGGGGGGAATACAGGGCACCGTGTCGGGGGGGGGGAATACAGGGCACCGTGTCGGGGGGGGGGGAATACAGGGCACCGTGTCGGGGGGGACTGAGGAAAAATACAGGGCACCGTGTCTTGGGGGGAGGGAGGATACAGGGCACCATGTCTTGGGGGGGGGGGGGGGGGGGGGGGGAGGAGGAATACAGGGCACCGGGGGGGGGGGGGGGAGGAAGAATACAGGGCACCGTGTCGTGGGGGGGGGAGGAAGAATACAGGGCACCGTGTTGGGGGGGGGGGGGGAAGAATACAGGGCACCGTTGTCGGGGGGGGGGGGAAAAGAATACAGGGCACCGTGTCGGGGGGGGGAAGAATACAGGGCACCGTGTCGGGGGGGGAAGAATACAGGGCACCGTGTCGGGGGGGGGGGGGGAGAATACAGGGCACCGTGTCGGGGGGGGGGGGGGAGAATACAGGGCACCGTGTCGGGGGAGGGGATACAGGGCACCGTGTCGGGGGAGGGGATACAGGGCACCGTGTCGGGGGAGGGGATACAGGGCACCGTGTCGGGGGAGGGGGGAGCAGAATAAAGGGCACCGGGCGAGGGGGGATATACAGGGCACCGGGGTGAGAGGGGGGATATACAGGGCACCGGGTGAGAGGGGGGATATACAGGGCACCGGGTGAGAGGGGGGATATACAGGGCACCGGGTGAGAGGGGGGGATATACAGGGCACCGGGTGAGAGGGGGGATATACAGGGCACCGGGTGAGAGGGGGGATATACAGGGCACCGGGTGTGAGAGGGGGGATATACAGGGCACCGGGTGAGAGGGGGGATATACAGGGCACCGGGTGAGAGGGGGGATATACAGGGCACCGGGTGAGAGGGGGGGATATACAGGGCACCGGGGTGAGAGGGGGGGGGGATATATACAGGGCACCGGGTGAGAGAGGGGGGGATATATACAGGGCACCGGGTGAGAGAGGGGGGGGCGATATACAGGGCACCGGGTGAGAGAGGGGGGGGATATACAGGGCACAGGGTGAGAGGGGGGAGGGGATATACAGGGCACAGGGTGAGAGGGGGGGGGGATATACAGGGCACAGGGTGGGAGGGGGGGGGGGGGATATACAGGGCACAGGGTGAGAGGGGGGGGGGATATACAGGGCACAGGGTGAGACGGGGGGGAGAATACAGGGCACCGGGTTGGGGGGGGATGAATACAGGGCACCGGGTTGGGGGGGATGAATACAGGGCACCGGATATGGGGGGGGGTATGAATACAGGGCACCGGATGGGGAGGGGGGGGATACAGGGCACCGGGCTGGGGGGGGGGATACAGGGCACCGGGCTGGGGGGGGGGGGTACAGGGCACCGGGCTGGGGGGGGGGATACAGGGCACCGGGCTGGGGGGGGGGGGATACAGGGCACCGGGCTGGGGGGGGGGATACAGGGCACCGGGCTGGGGGGGGGGGATACAGGGCACCGGGTGGGGGGGGGGGGATACAGGGCACCGGGCTGGGGGGGGGGGGGGATACAGGGCACCGGGCTGGGGGGGGGGGATACAGGGCACCGGGGGGGGGGGGGGGGGGGGGGATACAGGGCACAGGGCTGGGGGTGGGGCAAGTACAGGGCCCGGGCTGGGGGTGGGGCAAGTACAGGGCACCGGGTTGGGGGGGGGGGGCAAGTACAGGGCACGGGTTGGGGGGGGGGCAAGTACAGGGGCACGGGTTGGGGGGGGGGCAAAGTACAGGGCAACGGGGGTTGGGGGGGGGCAAGTTACAGGGCACGGGGTTGGGGGGGGGGGCCGGCAAGTACAGGGCACCGGGTTGGGGGGGGCGGGGGGGCAAAGTACAAGGGCACCGGGTTGGGGGGGGGGCAAGTACAGGGCACCGGGTTTGGGGGGGGCGTGGCAAGTACAGGGCACCGGGTTGGGGGACGGGGGCAAGTACAGGGCACCGGGTTGGGGGGGGGCGGCAAGTACAGGGCACCGGTTGGGGGGCGGGCGGGGCATAGTACAGGGCACCGGGTTGGGGGGGGCGGCAAGTACAGGGCACCGGGTTGGGGGGGGGGCAAGTACAGGGCACCGGGGTTGGGGGGGGGCAGAGTCACAGGGCACCGGGTTGGGGGGGGGGCAGGGCAAGTACAGGGGCACCGGGTTGGGGGGGGGCAAGTACAGGGCACCGGGTTGGGGGGGGGGGGGGGAAATATCACCAGGGCACCGGGTTGGGGGGGGACAAGTACAGGGCACCGGGGTTGGGGGGGGCAAGTACAGGGCACCGGGTTGGGGGGGGCAAGTACAGGGGCACCGGGTTGGGGGGGGCAAGTACAGGGCACCGGGTTTGGGGGTGGGGGCAAAGTACAGGGCACCGGGTTGGGGGGGGGCAAGTACAGGGGCACCGGTGTTGGGGGGGGCAAGTACAGGGCACACGGGTTGGGGGGGGCAAGTTACAGGGCACCGGGTTGGGGGGGGCAAGTACAGGGGCACCGGGTTGGGGGGGGGCAAGTTAACAGGGCACCGGGTTGGGGGGGGATATAGGGCACTGGGGGCTGGGGGCAAATACAGGGCAAGGTGTCAGGGGTACCGGCCATGTGTTTGTGGAGAATCTGCCATGCCAATGGTAAGGGTGAGCCGTATGTGTAACATGGACATCCCACCCTTGTCTGGAGTACGGGGATTGGGGGGTTTACATTACAGACCTCCATCTCCCAGACTAGGAGAATGAATGGGCGGCCTGCCCTCCACACAGATGGACATATTGGGGAGGTCTTCCCGCCATCCCCTCAGTCCAGCAGGTAGAGAGGACAGGCGATGAGGCCTTTTCTGTGGCACACAATACACACCCCGCACTGCTGGGAGGAAAAAACGGACAGGCACCCCCTCCGTACCACACGGCCGCCCCGTCCCCCTGAACTCCCCTGCCCCCCGTGTACGGGCCACACTGAGGCCGCCTCGCCTCACCTACCCCGGCTAGGATGGGGCCGCCTGACTTTACAGAGGACTGAGCGATTCTTGTCTTCACTGAGGCTCTACGAGTCACCGGCGGGAAAGTTCGGCGTTCCTCTCGGCTCTGGGACTCCGTCGTTAGGTTCTCCTGTGAGGCGGGTCTCTGATTCACGGACTAGGCCGCACTCACGCCGCAGCGCTGCTCGCGAGGACCCAGCGTGCAACGCGCGGAAGAGGGCGGAGAACGCGTGTGGATTGGTGGGGCGGGGCTACAGGGGAGCCATCTTGGTAGAGGCGGGGCAGGCAGAGCTGCGTGCTGTGATTGTAATCCTGGTAGAGACGAAGGGAGGAGTACAGCGCAGTGTTCTGCCCGTGATATTTACATTTATTTGCACAAACGTTGATTTTTGGGGCGATCTTGTGAGGATATCTGTCCCCTTCTTCTGAGATCCACCAATTACCCATTAGAGGAGGAGGATAGACGCCTGAGAACTTGTCCTGAAAATTCCACTGTTAGAGCAAATTAAAAAGAATCATGGACAGAAGTACGAACATTGAGCTCTGTCCAAGATATTATATACACCATTGAATTAAACTTCAAGGAGGTCCGGGCACTAAAACCTATGGCCAAGGTCCGAAAATTAATGTCCCCATTAGTGTTCCCTTTACATCAGGTTCCCCCTCTATAGAGTAATTTATTACAGTGGGTTCCACTATCAGTCTTCCCCCAAAATCAGTTGCCACCATCAGAGTACCCCCCTATACCAGGCATCCCCCATCAGAGTGCCCCCTTACATCAGGTATTTCCATCAGAGTGCCCCCTTACATCAGGTATTTCCATCAGAGTGCCCCTTACATCAGGTATTGCCATCAGCGTGCCCCCTTACATCAGGTATTGCCATCAGCGTGCCCCCATATATCAGGCATTTCCATCAGAGTGCCCCCATATATCAGGCATCCCATCAGAGTGCCCCTTACATCAAGGTATTTCCATCAGAGTGCCCCCTTACATCAGGTATTGCCATCAGCGTGCCCTCCTTACATCAGGCATTTCCATCAGAGTGCCCCCATATATCAGGCATTTCCATCAGAGTGCCCTCCTTACATCAGGCATTCCATCAGAGTACCCCCTTACATCAGATTTCTGCATCAGAGGGCCCCCTTACATTTGGTGTCTCCCATTAGAGTGCCCCATTATATAAGGTTCCCCCATCACGGTGACACCTTACATAGGGTATGCCCATCAGTGGGCTCCATTAGGTGTCGCCATCAGAGTGCAACTTTACATCATGTATCCCCATCACATCAGGTGTGCCCATCAGAGTGCCCCTTTACATCAGGTATCCCCATAACAGTGCCACCTTACATTAGATATTCCCATCAGAGTGCCCCTTACACTCAAAGTACCCCTTTCCATCATATTTCCCCATCAGAGTGCCCCTTTACATCATGTTCCCCATCAGAGTGCCCCTTTCAATTACATGTACCATCAGAGTGCCCCTTTCAATCACATGCACCCATCAGAGTGCCCCTTTGCATAGTATGTGCCCCCTTAACATAACATGAGCCCATCAGAATGCCCCCTTAACATAAAAGATGCCCATCAGAGTGGCTCTCAACATAAAATAAGCGGTATGCTGATGGGCACATTTTATGTTAAGGGGCACTTCTGATGGGCAGATTTATATTAAGGGGCACTCTGATGGGCACATTTATATTAAGGGACACTCTGATGGGCACATTTATATTAAGGGGACACTCTGATGGGCAGATTTATATTAAGGGACACTCTGATGGGCAGATTTATATTAAGGGGCACTCTGATGGGCACATTTATATTAAGGGACACTCTGATGGGCACATTTATATTAAGGGACACTCTGATGGGCAGATTTATATTAAGGGACACTCTGATGGGCACATTTATATTAAGGGACACTCTGATGGGCACATTTATATTAAGGGACACTCTGATGGGCAGATTTATATTAAGGGACACTCTGATGGGCAGATTTATAAAAAGGGACACTCTGATGGGCACGTTATGCTAAGGGTCACTCAGATGGGCACATTCTATGTTGTGCCCACCAGAGTGCCCATGAAAGAAGGCACCCTATCTTAAGGGCAGACAGGAGTGGAAGGCAGGAGCTTTTTGGGATCCTTGCTGAAGGGGACGGGGCACACACTTGTGGACAGGCAGAGAGAGACAGTGAGCTGCAAGGGATGGGGCACCAGTTGCAGGCACGACCACCCTGCTGAGCCGCAGATCTGTCATTCTAGTCTGGTGTGCTGGTGGTCCGGGTGGGAGCGCTGCTCAGGCCGTTCTCGGACCACGGTCTGCCATTTAGTGACCGCTGATATTCATCATTCCCTGAATCCCCCATACGGCAGACCCATTATCCCTTAAAGAGCTAGTCCATCTTTACCAAAAACTGCCTTTGCAGATGAAGGGCATCTGGAGATTAAAACAAACTGGGCAGCTTTGACCAAAATTGAATAATGCCTTTGCTATAGGTCAGGGGTGTCAAACTAGTGGCCCTCCAGCTGTTGTGAAACTACAAGTTCCATCATGCCTCTATCTTTGGAAGTCATCCTTGTAACTTTCAATCTTGCAATGCCTCATGGGACTTGTAGTTTGACAACAGCTGGAGGGCCGCCAGTTTCACACCCATGCTATAGACACATGCCATTTATGTACCTCATGAAGCCTGACTGGTATACCTCCCAGGACATTGCTAAGAGATGCCTAGCTGTTCACCTTCACCATCACGGGAGCAAGATCTCAAACTCTGAGCTCAGAGCTACTGCAGCAGGGGAGAGAAAATGCCTGTGAGGAGGTTTGAAACAGAGAAAAAGCTCACTCCTGTGATGGTGACGGTGAACAGTAACAGCTTGGTACATCTTAGCAACGTCCTTAGCAATGCCCTGGGAGCTTTCTAATCTGGCTTTATGAGCTACGTAAATGGCCTAAACCTAAGGGCCTTATTCAACTGTGGTCAAAGATTGTTTTATTTACAATTTCTTTATCTGCATTCATTCATGCCTCTATCCTCTAAAGACACTGTTTACACTGAAACGTGTTAGGGCAGGGCCAAACACGTGACACTATTATGCATGCTGGCGGAATCCGATGATGCTCATCGTTTGTTATATGCTTGTGATGTCTTCCTATTGTACGTACGTTACCATATTAAAAGTCCTAGGTTTTAACATACTGCACCATGGCGGCCCCTTCTTGCTTAACTCCTCTGCGCTGAGCACACTTACACAGGATCGTTTCCAGGTGGAGTGACGGGTTTGTGGGACAGCAAGGAGCTCCATGATCTCTATGTGGGATCAGTGTTTCTAGTAAGGAGTTCACCAGACACATGGGTGGTGGGATTTCCTGGCACCCTCTATTCCTGCAGCACTGAAAGCTCTCCGTCTTACACTTTTAAGCGTGTCTTGTTTTCCTTTGGGATTTTCCATCTTGATTTTGGACTGTACACCAGGATGTTTAATCATCTGTATGGACATTTTGCACGTTTGGTTGCTTTATTCATCTTCAACTTTGTTTGCAATATTGAATAATATATTTCTATTTATGGTTGTTCATTGAAAGTTTGTCTATAGATCGCTGGTGCCATGCAGGTCTCCCTCTGACCTGTCATTGTATCTGTGTGCTCGTACATCCCCTACGGACAAGCAGATACCTAGTGACAGGTAGACTCAACTACAACAGCGCTCCACAGCTCCGTGATAGTTCATTGACAACTACAAGCTGACAGACACAAAGGCTGATGGAATTTGTAGTGTCCTTAATTACAGAATACTGTGAGTTAGTGGCGTGTCCAGGCAGGCAGAACCCCGCACAGCAACTTTTTTAAAAAATTGTGACAGCTAGCGGGGAGGAGAAGGTCCCCTGTTAGCTTTCACAATGGGGATTGGGGGGGGGGGGGGGTGCAGGAGCCGGACCGATTGTAACATGTTACACCCTAAATATGAGTGTAACATGTTATGAACGGTGAACTTATCCTTTAAATCCTGCAAATCAACTAACAATCCCAGCTATTATATACGATAATAAATTAAAGTTGTTCTAAAGCCTAAACATTTTTTAACTTAACTGTTTCAATACCGTGCAATTTTACACCTTCCTGCCCAGGCCAGTTTTCAGGTTTCAGCGCTCTCACACTTTGAATGACAATTGCGCAGTCATACAACATTGTACCCAAACTAAAATTTGATCATTTTCTTCACACAACTACAGCTTTCTTTTGGTGGTATTTAATCACCGCTGGGGTTTTTATTTTTTGCTAAATTAACAAAAAAAGACCAAAAATTTTGAAAAAATAACACATTTTTCTTTGTTTCTGTTATAAAAGTTTACAAATAAATAATTGTTCTTCATAAATTTAGGCCCAGATGTATTCTGCTACATGTCTTTGGTGAAAATAACCCAAATTAGGATGTATTTTTTAGTTTGTAGGAAAGTTATAGAGTTCACAAACTATGGTATAGATCTGAATATTGATCAATCCTGAAGTACTGACAGCCAATCTAATATCTTGAGGTCCAAGAATGTCAGAACAGTACAGATATCCCCCAAATGACCCCTTTTTGCAGAGTAGACAGTCCGACGTACTTCATAAGAGGCATGGAGAGTTTTTTGAAGTTGTATTTTTTTGTCATAATTTTTTGGAAAATGAAAAAATTAAAAAAATTATTTTCACTATTTCTTTTTTACATACTGTCACCAGTGCAGTACAGCGTCATCATATAACTGGCATGGCGGTGAACAGCGACACTGACTAGTGACAGTATGAAAAAAAAATATATATATTTTTTTTTTATTTTTTTTTTTTTTTTTATTATTTTTTAATTTTTTATTACATTTTTTTTTATTTTTTTTAAGATTTTTTTTCATATTTTACTATGACCAAAATAGTACAATGTTACCATAGTAACACTGTACTACTTTGGGGAAGTGATCAGTATTTTTTTTTTTTTTTTTACACAATTTGCTTATAGCAAAGAATTACTTTGCTATAAGCAAGCATTTACCTGAATGAAATCGATTCATTCAGCTTTTTTTTTTTTTTTTTTTTGTGCTTAGCTGTGATTTGGTCACAGCTAATCACATGACATGTGCATGTGATTAGCTGTAACCATTCACAGCTAGGCACTAGTATACAATGGATGGCATCATGAATGAAGCCATCCATTGTATACAACTGTCATGTGACCTGCTGTGATTGGTCACAGCAGGTCACATGGTACCGGCAACGGGAGCCGGTACTCGGATCTGTCATCGGCCGTGTCCGAGGTGCACGGGCGGTGACAGATCGCACTGCTGCGTCGCTCTGCAACCGCGCAAACCGCGCATGTGCGGGAGCAGCGCTTTTCAAGCTGCCAAACGGCCATTGGCCGGGCGGCTAATGGTTAAAGTGGAGCTTTTTTTTTTTTTTTTTAAATGTTTTTATTGCCATATGCAAACAAATACATATCCAAATATGCATACATATCAAAATACATTAGCAATCCATCCAACAGTAGGAATGTTACATTCTTCCAAGATTTATGACCTATCTATCATATATCCAACCACTGTATGGAAGTAACGATATAAACATATCAAAGTTAAGTATATGGTGATTAGTATCATAGTCGCATAAAAGCTTTTATTACATCTGTAAACATGAACCCATTAGCCAAAGAAAAGAAAAGAACCCCTTCCCCCACTTCAAACAGACAAAAAAAGAGAAAAACTAGCCGGGATAGCACTTTTCCACCAAAAAGAAAAAGAAGAAATAAATAATATGTCTGGGGCTTATCACACCTCTCAGTAACAAATATTGTCCAGCACCTCCCCCAAAAAAAAAACCCATCCTGATCCTTCAAGAATCATCCGGCGGTACCGTTTCCCTGGAATCCACCCACCGGGACCATATCTTTCTGAATTTTTCCAGCACACCCCCTTGCTTCATATGTCATCTCATACATCTGAAGATCCATATTAACCAATTTTTTCCATGCCCTTAAATCCAAAGTATCAGAACGTATCCAGTGTAACGCTATCAGCTTACGTACATAAAATAATAAAATTCTCAGAAAAAGTTTGGTAGCGTTATTCATCTGCTCATCTTCAAGCACTCCTAAAAGACATACCATGGGCCTACATACATTAGGCAAGTCAAATGTATTGGAAATAAACGCTGTAACTGCAGACCACAAGGGCCTAACTTTAGAGCATTCCTAAACCATATGTAAAAAGGATCCCGTATTAACCTGACACTTATGGCAGATGGCTGTGTTACATCGTCCCATACCATAGAGGTACTGAGGTGTATAATACATT